ATAGGGTTTGAAAAAATCTCAATGGATAAAAATAAAGTAATTAAGTTATCATATAAGATATGTAAAAAATGCAATTATGTATGTTACACAATACATTTCCAACAAAATTTCAAAAATTGGACTAGTGGAAACGATGATATAGATAAATTTATTCAAGATACTCAACTGTCAACTCATGAAAATCCAAGTAAAGCGTTAGAATGGATACCTTACGATAGATTTTATAATATCAAGAATATTACAGAAGGCAGGTATAAAGCAAATTGGATTGACGGAAATATAAGTTATTTAAGTTATTGGAGTGGTTATTGGAAAAGAATAAATCAAGATATGATTGTAGAACTGAAAATATTAAATAATCCAAAAAGTATTACATTGGAATTTGTGGATGAGGTATGATAAATTTATTTTTTATTAAAATTTTTTGATAAATTTTCATTTTTTTTCTAATACATTATTATATATTTGTAGATTAATAAAGTTTATGGGATAACTCAGGATCCAGAAACATTAAATTATATAATGGTTTTGAGTGGTGAATGTAAAAAATGCAATAATACATCATGTTTTGCAAAACAATTTCAACAAAATTTCAACAATTGGACTAGTGGCAATGTTGATATTGATAAACTTATTCGGAATACTCAGCTATCAGCTCATGATGGTCCGGAAGAAGCGTTAGAATGGATATCTTACGATAGATTTTATAATGTCAAGAATATTGCAGATGACAAGTATAAAGCAAATTGGATTGATGGAAATATAATTTATTGGAATGATGATAATCAAAATTGGGAAAGAAAAAGTCAAAATATGATTGTGGAATTGAAAAGATTAAATAATACAAAAGAACTTACATTAGAATTCATGAATGAGGTAAGATAAATTTTTTTTATTAATATTTTAGTATATCTTTAATTTCTTACTAATATATTTTATTTTGCAGACAAAAATAGATTATTCATTTTATGGAATAACTCAGAATCCAGAAACAAAAATTTATATGATGGTTGTAAATGAAAGATGCAAGAAATGTAATTATACATGTTATTCAAAACTTTTTCAACAAAATTTTTTAAATTGGACTAGTGGTAATCATGATATTGATAAATTTATTCAAGATGCTCAGCTATCAACTCATAAAGATACAAAAAATACATTAGAATGGATACTTTACGATAAATTTTATAATATTGAAAGTATTGAAGAAGACACGTATAGAGCAAATTGGATTGATGGAAATTTATTTGATTGGGATCATATAAATCAAAATTGGGAAAGAAAAGGTAAAAATATGATTGTGAAATTAAAAATATTTAATAATCTAAAAAATAACATATTTGAACTTGCGAATAAGGTATAATAAGTTTATTTTTTATTAAAAATTTTTGATAAATATTCAATTTTTTTTTTGCTAATATATTATAATTTATAGGTTAAAAAAGATTATATATTTTATGGTATAACTCAGGATCCAGAAACAAAAGACTATATAATGGTTTTAGGAGATAAATGTAAAAAATGTAATTATACATGCTATACAATACATTTTCAACAAAATTTCATAAATTGGACTAGTGACAATGAAGATATTGATAAATTTATTCAAGATACTCAGCTATCGACTCATGAAGATAAGAAAAAAGCATTAGAATGGATACCTTATGATAAATTTTACAATATCAAATGCATTGCAGAAAACAGGTATCAAGCAAATTGGATTGATGGATATATGTGGGATTGGGATAGTAATAATCAAAATTGGACAAGAGTAAGTCAAAATATGATTGTGGAATTAAAAAGATTAAATAATATAAAAAATATTACATTAGAATTTATGAATGAGGTATAATTATTCGATTTTTTATTTAAAATTTTGATAAATATGATAAATATTCAATTTTTTGCTAATATATTATATTATAGATTAAAATAGATTATGTATTTTACGGAATAACCAAGGATCCAGAAACAAAAAATTATATGATGGTTTTAAATGAAAAATGTAAAAGATGTAATGATATATGTTATACAATACGTTTTCAACAAAATTTCATAAATTGGACTAGTGACAATGATAATATTGATAAATTTATTCAAGATACTCAGTGTTCAGCTCATTATGATATGGAAAATGTATTAGAATGGATATCTTATGATAAATTTTATAATATTAAATGTATTACAGAAGATAAATATAAAGCAAATTGGATTGATGGAAATATAAGTTATTGGCATCATGATAATCAAGATTGGGAAAGAGAAGATCAAAATATGATTGTAGAACTGAAAAAATTAAATAATCCAAAAGATATTGCATTAGAATTTATAAATAAGGTATAAGTTTATTTTTTTTATAATTTTTGTAAGCCTTTAATCTTTACTATATTATATTATATTCGTAGGTTAATAAAGCTTATGGAATAACTCAAAATCCAGAAACAAAAGATTATATGGTAGTTTTGAATGAAAAATGTAAAGAATGTGATTATATATGCTATTCAAAACGATTTCAACAAAATTTTAACAATTGGACTAGTGGCAATGATGATATTGATAAATTTATTCAAGATACTCAGTTATTGGCTCATAAAGATGTAAAAAATATATTAGAATGGATACCTTATGATAAATTTTATGATATTAAGTATATTGCGGAAGGTGGATTTGGCAAGGTATATAGAGCAAATTGGATTGATGGTTATATGAACAAGTGGGATAAGCATAATAAAACTTGGGAAAGAAGTGATCAACATAGGTTTGTAGCTCTGAAAAGTCTAAATAATTCAAGTAATGTCACACTAGAATTTATGAATGAGGTATTATTAATTTATTGTTTAATGAGATTTTCGATGATTATATATTTTTATTAATACATTTTGCATATTTTATATGTAGATTACATCGCATAGACAAGTATATGAAAAAAATTTTTATATTAAATATTATGGAATAACTCAGGATCCAGAAACAAAAAATTATATGATGGTCCTGGATTATGCAGAGAGTGGAAGTTTGCGAGATTATCTAAATAAAAATTATAATGAATTAAGTTGGAATGTAAAGATTAATTATTTGCATAATATTGCATCTGGACTTTATAATATTCATAATAATGAATTATTTCATCAAGATTTACATACTGGAAATATACTAAAAAATTATGAAGATATTCTCATAGGCGATATAGGATTATGTAAACCTGCAGATTATAATACATGGGAAATTCCAAAAAATAGTATATATGGTGTTTTGCCTTATATTGCTCCCGAAATTTTACGAGGGCAAAGTTATACTAAAGCTGCTGATATTTACAGTTTTGGTATAATTATGTATGAAATAATTTCTGGATTACCTCCGTATTATAATTTAAGTCATGATGACAATTTAGCAATTAAAATTTGTCAAGGGCTTAGGCCAAGGTTTGATACTGGAGTATCTCAATCAATTATACATTTAATCAAAAGATGCTTAGATGCAAATTCATCAATTCGACCGACAGCAATTGAAATTATAGATGAATTATGGGAAATAAACATGAGTAATTTAAAACAAAATGAAGAAATTAAAGAAGAAATTAATGATAATTTACCAATTAGTAATAAATCTTTGACTAGTTTATCATATAAAACACATCCAGAAGCTATTTATTCAAGTAGATTACTTAATTTTGATAATCTTCCTGAGCCAAAAAATTCTGATGATTATTATGAACAAAATGATGATATAATAAGTGAAATATTTTCAGGTATTATTCAATAAATTATTTAAAATAATATTAAATTTAAAATATTAACATCATTTAATTTATTAAACAGAATCATTAAATTAAAATGGTAAATTTTAATTTAAACCATTAAAAATTTTATGTTCATTAATCGTATTTAGGTAAAAATAGAAATTTAGAACAAATAACAAATTAGTAATTAGTAAATTTTAATTGCTTGTATTATTTTAAATATTTTTTTTTTTCCTTTTTTATCATTATAATTTAAAATCCTGTTTAATGTTGCTAAGACTGAAGATGATTTTTTTTTTTTTGCTACACCAATTTAATGGACTGGCGAATTTTTTTTATATATATATGTAATTAAACTGGATTTTAAATTTTAATGGTCATATATTTAATAAATATACAGCGTTTACTGTATTTATATTTATCATTATTTATTGAATAAATCACCCATAAAAAATTTATAAAAATGTGATATCTCTAATTAAAAGAAAAATTATATTAAAAAGGAAGATGAACATTATATTTATCAACCTTAATTGCTAATTTTAATATTGCATTTTATTATCTTTATTAGAAGGAATATTAGATACAAAATTGTGAAAATTTCATATTATACATATATCCCTCGATTTTTTATGCGGATTACTAATTATTTTTTTTTACTAGAACTAGTATCGATACAACTAATGATAAAAGGCCTACCGCTACGATACATATTAAATTTTTCACTAAATAGAAAAACGATTCCACGTTAATAATCCTAAATTCCCATAATTATTATTTTTAATATTACATACATTTTAAAAATAACAAATCTTCTAAAGTTCAAAGCTAAATACCAAACTTAAAACCGGAAAGTGTAACTTTATAACTTTATCTGAAATTTAATTAATTAAAAGAGTGTAGTAACGTTCCTAATGGTTCATCCATTCGTCAGTTCGAGGAGTGACACTCCATAAAGCTTCGGTCAGGCGTTATTATATCAAATGGATACAATATAGTGAATATACAGAGCAAACCATATTAGTAACATTAGTATTCAAGTACTATCATAAGGAAAAAATCTTTTTATTATTGTCAACTGCGCAGTATGTCGCACTAATCAACCTTGATCAACTATGACCAATGAAATTCCACAAAGTATGGCGTGGTAAAATCTTTATTTTAATTTGGAAAGAATCTACGTCAGTCAATCATAAATGAATTCAAAATGGTTTTAAACATAATTTCATACTCTTTCTCCCACTGTCCCACATTAAGTGTATTTTTCTTTGCCTAAAATATGTCAACGCAATTTCTTTCAAAATTAAGTCAAAATTATATTAAGTTATTAGATGACGATGAATATTATGATATCACTATCGAAGTCGGCGAAGATCCTAATGTAAAAATTCTACGTGCGCACATGAGTATTTTGTGTTACCGTTCTCCATACTTACGAAGGATTTTGGCTTCTAACAAAAATCGAAATAAGGAGAATATATTATCTCATATTAAATTATCAAAGATATCGCCCGAAGTTTTCCAAATTATCTTAAAGTAAGTTTAAATACATGCAATAAATTAAATACGAAATATCATGGACTCATGTTCAAATTCGAACTTTAAATTTTCGTATTATAGGTATATCTATGGTGGTACTCTTTCATTGAATGAACAAGACACTTTAGAAATTCTCAAAATTTTAATCGCTGCGGAAGAGTTGCTTCTTCAAGAATTAGTTGATTATTTACAAAAATATTTTATTGAGAATAAATCTAAATGGATGGAACAACATTTTGAACTTATTCATAGAACAAGTTTTCAGTCAAATTCTTTATTAGAACTTCAACAATTTTGTACGAACTTTATGGCAAACTCTCCAGAGAAAATATTTAAATCACTTGATTTCACGTCGCTTCCTGAAAAATCTTTAGTACAACTTATTAAAAGAGATGATTTACAAATGAAAGAAATCGAAGTTTGGGAACATGTATTAAAATGGGGACTTGCACAAAATCCTACACTTCTTCCAGATCCTAATACTTGGTCAGATGATGATTTTAAAACAATGGAAAATACTTTACAACATTGTTTATCTTTAATTAGATTTTTTAGTTTATCATCCAAAGAATTTTTGGAAAAAGTTCGTCCCTATAAAAGACTCATAAAACATCAATTTTATGAAGATTTATTAAATTCTCATTTGGATCCTAATAGTGAACCAAATGACAACATTTTACCTCCTAGAAATATTAGAATTGGGAGTATTATTGATTCAAAAATTGTTGATAACTTGAATATTATTTCAACTATTTCAAGATGGATTGATAAATTGGATGCTAGAAATAATTTTGCTTATTTAAAAGAACCATACAAATTTCAACTATTGTTAAGAGGGAGCCGAGATGGATTTACACCCAAAAAATTTCATGAATTATGTGATGATAAATGTAATACCATTACCTTTATTAAAGTAAAAGGAACGGAAGAAATTCTTGGTGGATATAATCCTTTAAAATGGGAATCTTCTGGTGGTTGTGGAAAAGCTGTGGACAGTTTTATTTTTTCTTTTAAAAATGATAATGTCGAAGATAGGATAATTAGTAATGTAAAATATACAGATTATGCAATACGTTATGGCCCTAACGATGGTCCATTTTTTGGTTTTGACATTATTATACATGCTGCTCATGAATCTGAAGTTTATAATGAAACTCGTTATAAAAAGAATTATTATAAAAAAAAGATAAGAGATACCGAAGGTCAATTTACTATGGAAGATTTTGAAGTATTTCAAATTATAAAGAGATAAATATACAAAATATTCTTACCAAAAAAACAAAAATATTATTGTTAAAAGTATTTAATAAGGGATCTCTCATGATAATTTACTGCAATTATAGGCGTATTTAAAGTACGAAAATGATTCGATTTTTTGATTTTTTACATTTAATCTAGATTAAAATGATGATTTTTAACTTTCACAGTCTCTTAACTTTCTATACTTATTTAATTTTTAAAGTTTTCAACTATTTAAAGTGTTGAGTTTGTAATTTGATCAAAAAGAAAAAACAATATTGTTTATAGAATGCAAACATGATCAATTTCTTTTATTGTGAAATTTTCAATACAGCACTCAGTGCACTGCTTGTTTGGAATAAACCAGTATATTTTCTAATGTTAAAATATATTAAATCAAATTAATTTTTTATGTTTCATCTTTTTAGCTCATCGTTTTGTTCACATTTAAAATCCGGGATAACAATCTAAAGGTCAGGTTTGAGTTTGCGCGCAACCCAGCCAAAAAAAAAATCATGTAAAATTTTCTTTTTAATACTCTTCTACAAACAAAATTGACCGCAATTTTAGTGTAACCGACCATGAACGGCTTTACATGAAAAAAATAATAATTAAAATGTCATAATTATTTTCTCAAATAAATTTACGTCTTTAATTATGAGTAATTTTTTAAAATTTTATTTAAATTATCCATATTTGTTACATTCATAATTCTATAAGAATATTCCAATAATTTTAGTGGTGTATTGAACTTACAGTATCTTTAAGGTAGAAAGAAAACAAAGACATTAATGGTTATAGGATGATCCTTATGTTAAAGATCTTTCTCACAAGACTAGTTTAATATATAAATTCTTTTTTATAATTTATCTAGAACTACGGTACCTAAATACTAAGATTAAATGTTTTGCAAGTATCTTAGTTTGTAATTTAGATAATTCTTTAATTTCTTATAAATTATCACAATATTTTAAAATGGTAAGAAGGAAAATAAAAAATATAAAAGAAAAATATAAAGAAAATAAAGAAAATAAAGAGTAGAAATATATAATAGTTATTGATTGGGTAAATTATCGGTCACCCCGAATTATTTAGCCATTAACAAAAAATAATCAGTCCATCAAAATCAGCATGATCCTAATAGACTGACCAATAAAAAGAACCAAAAGAAATAAAAGATAAAAGAAAATAAAAAAAGTCGATCAGGGAAGGCATATTTTGAATGCCGCCGTCATCGACGACCAAGTTAACTGGATTGGTGAGTTGATCAAAGCAAAAGCCGAATATATTAACATCATTGCCAACTATGTCGACCAATGGAGAGTTAGTTGAATTGGTAATTAGACTGATAGATATTTGGTGATGTTGAAGTTTATATTATTCCAATCAGTGCCAATTTCACTAATTTCGTCATTTTGTTCATGATTGTTACGTTTTTTTTTGTTTTGGTTAGTTTTGTAGTTGGGATATTTTATTGAGTGACGCCTTTTTGCTTCTCTATTACATCATCTGGTTCTTTTCTCCTAAACTTTTGAAATTTGGCAGATTTTTCACTTTTTCTCCTTGAGAAAGTTGAGAAAGAAGTTTTAGTTCAGCGTGCTTGTTTCCTCTGTATATCATAAAAGAATTTGGAGTGGAGGGGAGACGCTCTATGGACTCATTTTTTTTTGGCTTCTCTCGTTTCGTCCAAGTTATTTAATAAGTCATCAATGTTGAGTGAAAAAGTATAACCCCAGGACTTGATAAATTCTTCGTCAGTCATGTTTGTTCCAAGAGAATACTATCTGTTTGATTCTGGTGGTGATGGCGAAACTAAGGTATCAACTTTTACTTTTTATACCGAAGTAAAAGGTTGCTTAAAAATATTTCAAATTCTACCATAATTCATATAATCCTTCAGAATATTTTCTCTATAAAATATGAAAAATTATATTCAGATAGATTAATGAAATTAATTTATATAAATGGTTTCTTATGAATTATGACCGTGATGATAGACCAAATGGTAAAGTATAACAAAAGAATTACCTGATATTTTAATCAATTAATTATAACGTTTCTGATTTTGGTGAATTAAAAAGTATTTTTTTTTTATTTTTCCACCAATTAAAAATCCAATTTAAAGCTTTATATATTCTTGGGTTTGTACGGTGAAGATTTACTCGTATTTAATTTAAATCTGAATGTAATGAAAATTTATATATTTATAAATGTGATGAACAAAATTACATAAAAATTTGAAATAAAATCCTTTCACCTGTATATATCTATATTAAATATAATCCTGATTCATGGCTTGTTTTATAGGAAGGCTTTCATACCCTTTATTAAGATACCAATTTAACTGGTATAATTCCAAATTCCAATAATTTTCTAATCTTTGATTAAGTGCATTACATTTCAAATTTAAAATAATTTAAATATTCATACTCTAATTTCAACAATTCTAGTATCAACGATACTGTACATATGAAACCCGCATCAGATATCGCCTGACGCAAATCTACTATTATATCACAGTAAAATTTAAAAGATAGGAAGTTTTAACCGTAGAGAAGTTTTCTACAATAATATTTTCAAAAATGATGAGTTGGTAATATTGAAAGTACTGTAGGTTTTAATAACCATCAATATTTATAAAGTATTAAAATTTGGCGTGTTAACAAATTTTAGGTGAAAACGAGGCATTATAAAAAATATTTTTCCCTCGTAATATTCATAATTTGATAAATCGTATATCAAAAAATATCATTCTCTTATTGTGATGGTAATATGAAAGATTAAAAAAATATTTTATTCATTCGTTAATCAATAATACGGTACATATGTACCGTATTATTCAGTACGCAGTCGTCCAGTGTACCCCAAAAAATAAAAAAAAAATAAAATACATTTATTTGTAACATTTATCAATTATCACATGTTATTGTAAATTCATTGTGTTTTAGTCTGGGTAAATCACACGTAGATCTTGCAATTAGCCGCAAATTTACTGCGGAGATTTGCATAATATAAAGTATTTCACGACTACCGCACCGCAAAGATCTTTAAATCTAAGCCTTTTAACTTAAATTTAAATAAAAAATGAGACAATTTAACACTGATTGTTTAAATAAAATTTTTGAATATTTAGATGATGATGATATACATTCATGTTTACTAGTAAATCGTCTTTGGTGTCAAATTTCTGTTAGAATTTTTTGGGAAAAAATTCGAAATATTAATACTTTAATGTATTTTCTTCCAAATGAGTCAAGAAATTTTATTTCACCTCCTACTTCAAACCCTCCGATATTCAATTACGTATCATTTTGCAAAATTTTATCAATTAATGATATTCGTGACAAGGTTGAAAACATTCTTAAAAAACAAAATTTTATTTCATCACACGGCTTTTCAGATAATGTACATAAATTAGTACAGGAAATATGTAAATTACTCATGAGTCAAGCTCCTTCGTTAAAAAAATTAGTTCATTTAAAAACATCTTTTGATATGATAAAATTTAACTTTTATCCTGGAGCGGAAAATCGTTTAAAAAATCTCTCGGAATTGTGGTGTAATTCACGTATTTCATCGAAATTTTTTTTTCAATTATCAAATATATCACATAATATACGTTTACTTCATATAGAATTCAAAGAAGACCTTTCAAATGAATTAAAAAATTTAATTTCTGTCCAAAAAAATTTGAAATACGTGCATATATTGACTAATGAACGTAATTTACATTTAAAAATAGATTTTATATTAAAAGAATTACCTGACACTTTAACCGAACTTACTATTGGTGTAAAGAATAATATCTCATTGTCAGCTATTTCTAGATTTATAAATTTACAAAAACTTATATTAATGTTTACCACAAGAATTAATGGGGATAAATTAATCGAATTACGAGATATTGTTTTTCCAAAGTTACAAGTGTTAAAGCTTCTATTTAAAGGATTAAATTATAATT